AGCAAAGAGGAGGAGCGCAGGACTGTGCTGCTTCAGCAGCTTGGATCACCAAACCCCCAACAGCACTGACCCTCCAAACCTGGAATTCCTCCCCCATCCCCTCCCTTGGGCCCTCCAGGTGAAGCCCATACGTGTACAAACCATCAGTCTTTCCCTTAAAGATCAAATGGATGAAGGAGAAAGAGCACCCCGTCGGTCCACCCAAAGCGAAACCTTTCCATCTGTCACAGCAAAACGTTCTTTCTTTATGCAGAGGCAATGGAAACAGTTGGTTGTCCCACAGATACATCTCTCTGTTTTCAGATGTATAATTTGAGGCATTTCGGTCCCCTCCTCGTTAATTAAAGGCAGGCAAATTGCAAATGGAGAATGTCACAGCGCAATAAAACTTAAGGAGTTTAATTTCAAGCGTATCCAAGCAAAGCCTGCAGTTTTTCATCCTCAAAATACTCTTTATTTTTTTTCTTTTTCATTTTAAACGCAAACCGAAGTTGTAAATAATTTCAAAGGGACCAAAATAACCTTTTATTTTTCCTTATAAACAAATGTTTCGTCTCATTTTCGGGCAGGCCGGCTCTGTGTGATTGGAGACAGATTCCTGGTGGTGCCCAGCGAATGGATGAGAGGCAGTGGGCCATGAGCTGAAATTAATTCCCTTTAAGCAGAGTGGGAAAATTATTATTTCTCTTAACTGGAAGAGCAGTCAGACTGGAATTGGTTGCACAGAGAGGATGTGGGCTGTCCATCCTTGGAGATCACCAAAACCCAACGGGCTCTCGCCCTGAGCATCCCGCAATGGATGTGTTGGTCAAAAAGAGGTGGAAAGAGGAGGAAGTGTGTTATGGATGGTTCACATCTGGGCTTTGGGGCAGCGTCTGTGGTCTAGAGGTTGGAACTGGAGGACCTTGGAGGTCCCTTCCAACCGTTCCATGGTTCTGTGGTCTCCACCTGTTGGTGTCGGGGAACAGGAGAGTGAATGGAGAGAGATCTCTGAGTGTGGAACCTCCGAGCTCTCCATCCCTGAGTGCTGAGCTCTCTGGGATGCTCTGCCAGCCCCAAATCTTTCAGCTCCCTGCCCATAAAGACAGACGTTTTCAATGCCCTAAACACTCCCAGACTGCTGGAAGCTGCATGGCTGTGTTCACACACATTCCCAGACACGAGCAATCCATGAGCTGCACATCTCCTGGCGCCGAGGGCCCTCTGCAGCCCATTCTGTGCATCTCCTGCAGCCAAAGCAGCCTTCCAGCCCCATAACGCCGAAATCATCGTGTGCCTGCGCCCAACATCTGGATTTGCTGTAATAACATCAGCGTTTCTGAGCAAGGCTGGCTCACACGTGTGAGAAAATCAACTGGAGACTCTGCAGCACTGCAAAGTGCCCATTGCTGCCCAGCATGGACATCGCAGTCAGGGAAATGGAAGGGAGATGCTCTTCCCAAAAGGGACACACCGTCCTTCCCTTCCCCGGTGCATGGGGCTCTGAGACTGAAAAAGCAACGTGTGAATGTGCCATTGCAGGCAAGGGGAGCATAGAGAGACTGGAGTGGCCCAAACCTAAAGTGGGCACCACCCCAAAGCCCAAAGGGGGAACCATCCTTTTGTTGGCCTCATTTCCCAGGTAGCAGCGACAGGATGAGGGGCGATGGCCTCGCACTGCACCAGAGGAGGGTCGGGTTGGGTATGAGGAACAACTTCTCAAAGAGTGGAGATGTGTTGGCACAGCTGGCCGAGGAGCAGTGGGGTCACCGTGCCTGGAGGTGCTGAGAATTGCAGAGATGTGGCACTGAGGGAGGTGGCCAGTGGGCACAGTGGGATGGATTGGGGTTGGGCTTAAGGATGTGAGAGGTCTTTTCCAGCCCTCACAATTCCATGGCTCTGTGTGAAAAGAGCTGCTTCAGAATGCAGCCAGGCTCTCGTCCCACACAGTGCATCCCATTGCCTGTCTGTCGCCCATCCCAGGACTGCAGGAGTGGCACTCAGCTCTCAGAGGAGCAGAATTCCTCAGTGCAGTGCCTGCTCCTCACGTCACAGTGTAACCAACAGAAAATAGACTCCTAAAAATGCAAATATTTGGCCTGGCAAGGAGAGCTGGGGCAATGCAGGCAGTGCATCTCTGCCCCACAGGGTACCCCTGCCCCACATCCCAGCCTGTAGATGGCATCTGTACACTGCTGCACACAGCTGCATGCTGTCACAGCTGCCCTGGGGATGTAAGAGTGGTGTTTATTATGTGAAAATGAAGGTGTGAGGCAAATGCTAACTGTAGAGTGCTGGGGTTGGTGAGTAACATCGGAGCTGGTGGGTTTTATGGACCTCCTGGCACCTCCCTCAGTCACTGTGGGTCTGTCTGTCTGCCTTAAGGGAATAAATAGAAGGGGATATATACAAGGCTAAGGATCCTGGGTGCTGTAAAGCAAGGAGCACCCAGCATTCCTCCCAGGTCTGATCCGCATCACAGCGATGCCAAAGGAACAGCTGCCCAAAAAAACCAACCTGCCATCGGCAGTGATGGGAAATCTGCCTGTCCGTGGAATAAAAGCAGTGCAGATTGTTTCTGCAAAGACTCCGAAGGAAAAGTCAGCGTGCTTCCTGCACTGGGAGTGCAGCAGACTGCAAGGATCGCGCTGCGTGGGATCCAGGGCTGATGCTCTGCTCGGAGCCGGAGGGAGCGCCGTGCAGCAGCCCGGGGAGCAGACGGTGCCAATCTGAGCCCAAATCCGCAGCAGACAGAAATCTCTGCCTCTTCTTGCAAAGGAATCCGCGAAGGCCTCGGGGCGACGGTGCTGCTGACATCCTGGAAGCGACGGGAGCTGCGGGGAGGGCTCTGCTGGCTGTGTTTGCTCAGCACCAGAAGTCAGACCGCGCGGTGTGAGCGCAGATCAGCTCAAGGCAGGACGCGTCTGACGCAGCAAAGCTCTCGCTTGCTGGAGCCACGTTTCTCCTTATCACCGCATTGAGACGCACACCCCTCCCCACCCCTTCCCCCCCATCCCCCCGACTCCCCAGCCCCACACCTCCCATAGGGCCGGGTCACCCAGCCCCACACCTCCCGTGGGGCCGCATCCGATGGGCGATGGGCACGGCAGCATCAGCCGCCCCGGGGAAGAGCTGGGAGAGATTCGGTGCCTCGCAGCCAATGGGAGGAGCGGTGCCATTGAGGGGGGGGGGGGGGGTTGAGGGGGGGTTGCTTTGGGCTCCCTTTCTCCACCCATCTCCTACGACACCCCCTCTCTGTCACCACCGCCATCCTCCCCGCACACAAAGCACTGCAATGAGCTGAATTCAGAGAGCCGAAGAAAACAGCGAAACACCTCCGGAGGCGGAGAAGGAACCGCCATGGAAGGATACAAAGCACAGCCCTCCGCTCCCCCCCAGTGACACCCCCAGTGCGGCTCCTGCAGCGGGGACCCACCTGGATGCACCCGCACATCCCCGCATCCCCCGAGCGGCGATCCCGGGGGGAATGCGAAGCGTCGATCCCCGTTAACCGCAGCGGCGGTGAGTGAGAACGGCACCTCCGGGGGGCTTTGGGGGCTGCGGGCACAGCTGGGGGGGGGCGGATGCGATCTGGGGTCCGTAGGAGCGGAGAGAGCCAAAATGGGGCCGTGAATGGACGGGATGCGGTGAGAGGAGAGGGAGAGGTGCGGGCAGGGATGCGCCCCGCTCGGTCCCTTCGCCGCTTCATTCCTTCGGAGCAGATGTGCGCACACAGACGTCCTCCCCCCCGATCCTTCGTGCGCAGCCTGCGGGCGAGAGGAAATCAGCCCTCAAGGGCGGCGGGCTGGGAAATCAGCGCCGGCCTCCCGCCCCGCAGATACGGTGTAATAACATCTATGGGGCGCTGCCCACAGCCGGGAGCACCGACGGCACCGGGGCTGCGATCAGGGAGAGCTGCAGAGAGGAGTCGGTGCTGCGCCCGCCGTTCCCCCCCGTTCCATGCAGCGTGGGGTGCCCTGAGCACCCAGCAGCCCCGGGATGGGGGCTGTGGGTCTGCCCTGAGTGGGGCTGAGTGTGGGGCCGGGCCTCGTGGGGGTCACACACAGCACGGATGGGCTGGTGGGAAATAGGAGAGGAGGCTCAGCTCCTGCTGGAACCTTCTAAGGGTGGCAGATATATTTATATACAGTCTGAAGGCGCTGTCAGGGTTGGCATCCATGAGAACAAGGCCCTGGGTGTGGATCTGTACGGCTCGATCCCACACACCTCCATCTGAGCTGCTCCTGTTTTTCGACTGTGGTTTATCCAAGAGTGATGCTGGGAGTGACCCCTTTGGGGAACCACACGGCCCTGGGAGCTCCTCACCCTCTCCTGCTCCTCTCCAGGCACAGGGACACGTGTGGGGATGGGGAATGGGGCAGGCAGGGCTGCTCAGGGCTTTCTTTGCCAAAGCACAGCCATCAGCATCCATCCAGGTCAGCAGAACGGCGCTGCTGCCCGAGCAACCCAACATTGCCAGCAGGGGATGTGTGACCCACCGCTGGCAGAAGCAGTTGTGAAGGTTGAGATTGGTTTTGGAAGAAAAGGCAAAGGGGGAAGGGGTGGTTATCAGTTGGCAGGGAGAGCTCAGGGCACTGCAGCGTGGAGATAATACAGCTGCTGCGTAGATCCGGGGCTGAGCTCACCTCCTCTGTTCTGATCCAAAGCATCTCAGGAGGCCACAGAATCGTGGGGTCTGCTCAGAAAGGACCCCACAGACCCCCAACCCAACCCATCCTTCTGTGTCATTGACCACGTCCCCACATCATTGTGGTTCTGAACCCCCTGGGGTCGGTGGCAGCACTCCCTGTGCCAATGTTTGACCACTCCATCAAAGAAATCATTCCCAATTTCCACCCTCTGCCTCTCCTGGTGCAATTTAATGCTGTTTTCTCTCATCCTACAAAGCCCCACAGCACCCCGTGGTCCTGAAAACCCCACAACCCCCTCAGCTTCTCTGTGGGTGTGGGGTCAGTGTCCCTGCCCTGAACCCACTGCCCGTAGGGCTGAACTCACCTCTCCCCCTTCCACCTTCCAGACTGAGCCCTTCCTTGTGGGAAGCATCTCCTGAGCGTGATGGGAACCACAGAAGCCACCCTGCGGATGGAGAATGTGGATGTGAAGGAGGAGTGGCAGGACGAGGACTTCCCCAGGTAGGGAAGCAGCAGGGATGGATGTGGATGGGTGTCTAAGGGTTGGAGGGGTGGGCTCTGCGTGCTGCTCTATGGATCGAGCAGCATCTTCCCAAATGGAGCAAAGTGGAACCAAAGCCATTGGGACACAAAGATTGAGTGGCAGAATCTGGCCCCGTGTCACCTTTCTGCTTGGCACTGTGGGCACCTGGTGCCACCTATGGCTCCTTATAGTAGCTGTCCCCTTGGCATCCCATGGGACCCCATGGCACGCATCCCCTGGGCACAGTGGGCACCCCATGGCATCCAGTGCCACTCAGGAGACCCTATAGCACCCATTCCCTTTGCACAGCAGGCACCCTATGGCACCTGGTGCCACCTATGGGACCTGGTGACACCCCTCCCCTTGACATGTTGGGTACCACGTGTCACCTGGTGCCACCCATGGGACACCGTGTCACCTGTCCCCTTGGCACAGTGAGGACCCCATGTCACCTGGTGCCACCTATGCACTGGACCTCTGTCACCTGTCCCCTATGGCACCTGGTGTCACCATGGGACCCTACAGCACCCATCTCATGAGTACACCATGTCACCTGGTGATGCCTATGTGACCTTATAGCACCGGTCCCCTTGGCACAATTGGCAACCTATGGCACGTAGGGACATTCTGACACTCACCCCCCTTGACATGTTGGGTACCCCACGTCACCTGGTGCCATGCACGGGACCCTACAGCACCCATCCCCTTGGCACCCTATGTTATCTGGTGCCACCTTTGGGACCTTATGACATTTCTCCCTTGACTGCTGGGTACCCCATGTCACCCGGTGCCATCCATGGGACCCTATAGCACCCACCCCACTGGGACACTGGGTACCCCATGCCACCTGGTGCCACCTATGGGATCCCACATCCCTCCACTCCAGCAGACAGAGGCATTAAGGTGACATCTCCCCCTCCACCCGCACTTCCCAGCAGCATGGACCGGCGGCTCTGGGGGAGGCTGTGCCCCCTCCCAGCTGCAGCTGAACCCACAGGGTGGCAGTGTCGGTGGCACAGAGGCGCAGTGTGTGCTGTGGGATGGCACGTGCAGCCCTGAAAGCCCTCCTTGTGTCCTTCAGGGCCAGCGGATGAGCGTCGCTCTGTTCGCCCCGAGCGCAGCTGCGGTGTTGGTGGGAGCATCTCTGTGCCAAAAAGAGAGGGGAGTGGGGGCACAGCCAGGTCCTGTGTTTCTAGGGGAGGTTTCTCTTCCTGCTGAGGGCCGTGCAGACCTCTGCTGGCAATCGGGTCACCTGGGCAGTGTGGGGCAGCAGGATGGTGTGCCACCCAATGCTCCCCATAAAAACCCATGGATGGAGGAAGGATGCACTGCACCTCGCAGTATAATTCCCAGCAATGCAGCTCTTGGATGCAAACTGGGGAGAGGCCCAGGGATGTGGTACAAGGGACGAGGGATGAGGGTGGCAGCAATGTGGGACCCCAAGTGCAGGATCTGCCACAGAGGAATGAAATCAGGAGCTGATTTCTGCAATGGAGAGATGCCTCCATCCTTTAGCAAGCTCCAAGCTGGGCACTGAACACAGCTTCTTCCTGAGAGCTGTTCCCAGCCCTCCCCATGCAGGCACTGTGCAAGGTGTGATGCCAATGTGTTGAGCTGCAGCTGATAGAGTGGAACATGGAGAGGAGAGGGTCCTCCCCGCGGGCTGCATGGTGGCTGCCACGGTGCTGTGATGCTGTGATGCTGTTATGCCATGATTCCATGATTCCATGGTGCCGTGATTCCATGATGCTGTGATGCCATGATTCCATGGTGCCATGATTCCATGATGCTGTGATGCCATGAATGCTGTGATGCTCTGATGCCATGATTCCATGATGCCATGATGCCATGATTCTGTGATGCTGTGATGCCATGATGCTGTGATGTTGTGACGCCAATAGCACAATAGTACAGCCAACAGCATCATGGAATCACTGTGATTCCATGATGCTGTGGTGCCATGATGCTGTTGTGCTGTGATGCTATGATGCTGTGATGCCATGATTCCATGATGCCATGATGCTGTGATGCTGTTATGCTGTTATGCCATGATTCCATGATTCCATGATGCTGTGATGACATGATTCCAAGATTCCATGATTCCACAATGCTGTGATGCCATGATACTATGATGCCATGATTCCATGATTCCATGATGCTGTGATGCCATGATTCCATGACACTGTGATGCTGTTATGCCATGATTCCATAATTCCATGATTCCATGATTCCATGATGTTGTGATGCCGTGATTCCATGATTCCATGATGCTATGATGCTATGGTGCTGTGATGCCATGATTCCATGATTCCATGATGCTGTGATGCCATAATTCTATGATTCCATGATGTTGTGATGCCATGATTCAATGATGCTATGATGCTGTGATGCTGTGATGCCATGATTCAATGATGTTATGATGCTGTGATGCTGTGATGCCATGATTCCATGATGCTGTGATGGCATGATTCCATGATTCCATGATGATATGATGCCATGATGTTGTGATGCCATGATTCCATGATGCTGAGATGCTGTTATGCTGTTATGCCATGATTCCATGATGCTGTGATGCCATGATTCAATGATGCTATGATGCTGTGATGCTGTGATGCCATGATTCCATGATGCTGTTATGCCATGATTCAATGATGCTATGATGCTGTGATGCTGTGATGCCATGATTCCATGGTGCTATGATGCCATGATGCTGTGATGCCATGATTCCATGACGCTGAGATGCTGTTATGCTGTTATGCCATGATTCCATAATGCTGTGATGCCATGATGTTGTGATGTCATGAATCCATTGTGCTATGATGTTGTGATGCTGTGATGCCATGATTCCATAATTCCATGATGCTGTGATGCTATGATTCCATGACACTGTGATGCTGTGATGCTGTTATGCCATGATTCCACGATTCCATGATGCTGTGATGCCATGATTCCATGATTCCATGATGCCATGATGCCACGATTCCACGATTCCATGATGCTGTGATGCCATGATTCCACGATTCCATGATGCCGTGATGCCATGATTCCATGATTCCATGATGCTATGATGCCATGTTGCCATGATTCCATGATGATGTGCTGCTGTGATGCCATGATTCCATGATGCTGTGATGCAGTGATGCTGTGATGCAGTGATGCTGTGATGCTGTGATGCCGTGGGGTCGGAGCATGCTCGCTGTGCTCGCTGTGCTCGCCGTGCACCCATCGCATCCCATGCAGAGCTGCGGGTGGTGGGCAGTGCTGAGCAATCTGGTGCTCCTCCCGGAGCCTTAGAGCCGTTCCGCTGCGGGAATCGCGGTGTGGGGGGAGGCAGAGCTGGGGGGCAGTGATCCCATCCCCCTCGGGAAGGTAAGAGACCTTTTCTCTTTGCATCTGACACCGGGATTGCCGCTCCTTGGGAAATGGCGCTGTCCTTTTCCTCTCCTTTTGGTGCCGTGGGGCCAAACCGTGCATTACACCGCGTTTGTTGGATAAACAGCCATGGAGACAACAGCAGGAGGGGGGGTGGGAGGGCTGGGGGTGGGCAGGGGGCTGTCGGGCCTTTGCTCATCGCCTGTGGGGGACCAAGAGCTTTGATCAGCTCTCATGAATAAACAACAGCAGCTCGGGGAGGATTAGCCCTCCCTCCGAAGATGTTATGGTTTAATTTGGGGCAGCATCCTGCAGCTGACACGGCGGCAGTCGTCCCTGTGGGATCTGTCCCTGTCCTATCCCCATTCTCACAGCACTGCATTAAAAATGTTTGGTTTTTTCCCCCATGTTTCTCCCTGGGGACATCCCAGCATGCAGGATTTAAGCTTGCAGGCCCCACGCTCATCCCCTGCTGCTGGGAGCTCCCAGCAAGGAGTGGGGAAACAAGGAGGGCTCAGAAGGACCCTCTTCAAACAGCCCTTTGACACCATGGGGTCAGTGGGGTTTGGGAACCCACTGACATTATGAATGTGCTATGGGGTCAGTGGGGTTTGGGAACCCATTGACACCATGAACGTGCTATGGGGTCAGTGGGGTTTGGGAATCCATTGACATCATGAAGGTGCTCTGGGGTCAGTGAGATTTGGGAACCCATTGACATTATAAATGTGCTTTGGGGTCAGTGGGATTGGGGAACCCACTGACACTATGGGTGTGCCATGGGGTTACTGGAATTTGGGAACCCGTTGACATTATCAATTTGTCATGGGGTCAGTGGGATTTGGGAACAATTTGACACTAGGAATGTGCCATGGGGCCAGTGGGATTTGGGAATCCATTGACACCATGAACGTGCTACAGGGTCAGTGGGATTTGCAAATTACTGACATTATGCACGTGCCATGGGGTCTGTGAGATTTGGGAACCCACTGACATTATGAATGTGCTGTGGGGACAGTGGGATTTGGAAACCCATTGGCACCATGAAGGAACCATGGAGTCGGTGGAATTTGGGAACCCATTACATTATCAATTTTCCATGGGGTCAGTGGGATTTGGAAACCAATTTACACTATGAATGTGCCATGGAGTCAGTGGGATTTGGGAACCCATTGATGCCACCAGTGTGCCATGGGGTTGGTGAGATTTGGGAACCCACTGATGTCATGAAGGTGCCATGGGGTCAGTGGGATTTGGCCATGATGCAATAAAAAGGTTGCAAAACGGCTCCCCCAGCTAACATCTGGGAAAGGCACGATTTCCAGTCCAAACTAAAGGGAAAAATGTCCAGAAAGTGTCCAGCTCAGGGTGGGCAGTGCTTCTCAGTGCCACCAGCTGCACAGAATCTGTCCCCTCTATGGGCTGGGAGCATCTCCACCTACTTCCAAAGGACAACAGCCACATGATGAGACCTGGCCTTGGCACTGGGAAAGGGAAGCCAAACCATGGGCATTTCCAGCATTTTCACCACGGGGCTGCAGGAGCCCAGGGAGCAGAGCTGTGGTCAGCCTGCACCTCCCAGATCAGGTTTGGGTTCTGGTGCCCAGATCTCCACTCCAAACTGATCTGCTTTCAATACGGGGTCCAGGCACCACTGCTGGCTGCAGAGGCCAAAAACAGCACTGTGGTCACAGCTAAGGTTTAAACCTCACCTTGACCACCAACAGAGCCACTGATGGAGCAAAGTCAGACTTTGGGATAGGAGGATGGTACCAGCATTTCCAGGGACAGAACTCATTCTGGTGTTTCTGGATAGATTTTCCATACAGATCTTCCATTCCGATTTTCCATTTTGATTTTCTGCTCAGATTTCCCATTCTGTCTGTGGGACAGTTGGATGAGAGCAGTGTTGGAGGGACAGGTTGGAAGTTACTTGGGATGGTGCAGTTGTTGGGCAGAGCACCCGAAGTCATCACCAGGCTGATGCTCCCAAAGGGAAGAGCCCAGGCAGGGCTGTGTGTTGTTCCATGATGTCCCCAGTTCTCTCCATGGGGGTGACTTTCCCCTAAAAATCCCTTATTTCCCAACTTTTCTGCTTGCCTGCAGACCTCTCCCAGAAGAAACTGGCATGGAGTCGCTGGGCAGCCCTACAGAGGACGAGCACACATCCTGTAAGTACCAGCCCACCTTGCCAGGGTCCTAGGGGAGCACAAACCCAATGGGCTGACAGAGCACAGATGGGCACAAGGCAGTTCCATGGAGCCTCCACCAAAACACCCATTCAGGAGAGGAACCAGATCTCAATTTGGGGATCTTTGGCACAAACCTGGGGGGAGGAAATTGGGATCTCAACGCATCGGTGCTTCCATCCAACCATAGCCATAAAGCATCACCTGAAATGAAGGAACTCAGCAGTGAGGATGCAGGGCCAGGACAACCTGTCCCTTGTTTTCCTTTTGACTCCAGCTCCCCCACATACCTTAAACTTTAACGGGGCGCACCGTAAGCGGAAGACGCTTGTCGCACCTGAAATCAACATTTCCCTGGACCAGAGTGAAGGCTCCATTCTGTCCGATGACTTCTTGGACACGCCGGATGATCTGGATATCAACGTGGATGACATCGAAACACCCGACGAGACGGATTCCCTCGAATTCCTGGGGAATGGCAACGAGCTGGAATGGGAAGGTACGAGGATGGCTCTGAAGTGGTGAGGGTGGCCTCACTTCCATCGCTTCTGGCACCGCTCGCTGCTAGAAACGGTGCTTTCAGGGCTCACAGCCTGACCACAGCCTGGGGTAATGTGTAGGGTTTGTCCCTTTGCCAGATGACACTCCTGTGGCCACGGCCAAGAATATGCCTGGGGACAGCGCGGATCTGTTTGGGGACGGTGGGACAGAGGATGGGAGCGCAACCAACGGGCGGCTCTGGAGGACGGTCATCATTGGGGAGCAGGAGCACCGCATCGACCTGCAGATGATCAAACCCTACATGAGGGTGGTGACGCACGGAGGTGAGGGGATGCCTTGGAGGCTGGCTGCCATCATGGCTCTGTCAGCTGGAAGGGCTGTCCCCTTTGAGTCGGGGGGCTTTGTGCTGCTCGTGGCAGAAGCAGGGAGCTGCAATAAACACAAGCAGTGCTAAGTGTGGCTCTGAGGCAGCGTGAACCTTCCTGAGCCTTCCCACCAATTCCCAATGCTGCAGTGACTGAAGGTGCCAAACCCCTCTGGATTTCTCTGGGGCACAGCCAGAGGTGAAGGTACCCATAGGTAGGGACCATTTCCAACATCTGAGCGTGGCCACGCAAAAACCTGGGGCAGAACTCTCTGCTCTGTGCTTTTTTCCTCCTTCCCTGAACCCCATGTGCATGTCACAGCCAAAACCCAGCTCGGAGATTAACTCAGCTGTGGCAAAGGTCCATCACAGGGACAAATGCTTCCCTTGAGCTGAGCAGAGCCCCAGAAAGCAGCACAGACCCAGACTTACCAACAGATCTTTGCTGGAAGGAGCAGCTGATGGTGCCTGTGCCTCTTTTCCAGGGTACTACGGAGAAGGACTCAATGCCATCATCGTCTTCGCTGCCTGCTACCTGCCAGACAGCAACCTGGCTGATTACCACTATATCATGGAGAATCTCTTCCTGTAAGTGGATGGCAGAGGACGGAGAGAAGGCAGCCTGGGCTCCAGGACTGCTGTTTGCTCATTGCATCTGAAACCTCAGCTGGAAGGAGCTTGAATTGGGGCCAAAAGTCTGCAGCATGCAGCTGGGGGGAACGTCACTGCGTTGAGATGTCCTCAGTGCTCACAAAGTCAGAATGTTCAGACATTCAGTGTTAATTATGCTGGCGATGGACTCGGGCACAGCCATAGAGCACTGAACAGCTTGTAGCTGCTGCTCTGGGCAGCAAAACAGTGCAGAGACATCTACTGATGTGTGCACTGTGCCAACAAGCATGGGTAACTCCTGGGAAATATTACCCAAGGAGGTTGTGGATGCCCCATCCCTGCAGGCATTCAAGGCCAGGCTGGATGTGGCTCTGGGCAGCCTGGGCTGCTGGTTGGTGACCCTGTACAAAGCAGGGGGTTGGAACTGATGAGCACTGTGGGCCTTTTCAACCCAGGCCATTCTGTGATTCTATGAAATGTGGTGCCGGGGGAATTTGGTGTGCAGAGGAGGGACCTGGAGTCCCTTTGGGATGATGGAGGGAGCTTGCAGTGCCTTCTCTGAGCCTCACATCCCTGTTGCTTCTGACCATCCTGCAGCTACGTGATCAGCAGCCTGGAGCTGCTGGTGGCTGAGGACTACATGATCGTGTACCTGAATGGAGCAACACCAAGGAGGAGGATGCCAGGGCTGGGGTGGCTGAAGAAGTGCTACCAGATGATAGACAGACGGTGAGATCCCCCGCTGCCCTCCTCCCACATCTCTCATTGCTTTCATAGAATCATTCAGGTTGGAAGAGACCTCCACAACCCCCAGCCCCAACCCATCCCACTAACACTGCCCACTGCCCACATCCTTCAGTTCCACATCTCCACAACTCTGAACCCCTCCAGGAGTGGTGACCCCCCATCCCCTGCACAGCTGTGCCAGCACCTCACCACTGTTTCAATTCTTCTTAATACCCAGCCTGACCCTCCCCTGGTGCAACGTGAGGCCATCCCCCCCATCCTATTGCTGTTACCTGGAAGCAGAGGCTGACCCCCCTTCTCCACAACCTCCTTTCAGGAGCTGTAGGGAGTGATGAGGTCTCCCCTGAGCCTCCTCTTCTCCATACTGACCCATTCCGTTCCCTAAACCACTCTCTAAGTCCCCATTATGTTCCAGACCCTTCTCAAATCCTCTGTCCCTCTCTGGATATGACCAGTGCTTGGTCTCGTTGGACCTCATCCCATTGGCCTCAGCCAAGTTCCAGATTCTGTAATCTCCTCTGTCACATCTTGTTGACTTCATCCCCTCATCTCCCTCCTTCTCCAACTCAGACCTGTGTAGGGACTATCCTACACGTGTAGGCAGCCATCCTACAAGCTGCCATCTCAGTGCTCCCACAGTGCACCCATGGGCTTTGGGTTGGAGACCCCCACGTGCAGCTCCTTGGCACTATGGAGCCTTCCAAGCACTGACAGATCACAGTGAGATCTGTCTCAAGTTTGACGTTCCATCCCTTGGTTTCCCTCCAGGCTGCGGAAGAACCTCAAAGCCCTGATCATTGTGCATCCCTCGTGGTTCATCCGGACGGTGCTGGCTATTTCCAGGCCCTTCATCAGGTAAATGTGAATGGTTTCAGAATGGGAATTGAATGGTTTTAATCTTCTGCTCAGCTTTGGGTAACGGTGCCCAAAGTGAGACCACGCACAGAGAGGAGGGGAGGAGGAGATGGGCACAGAGGAGCAGAGCTCCACACTCCCATCAGAAACACCAGAATTTCTGCAGAGAGAAAAGCAAACCAAGGCCTCACACTCCTTCTCTTCCTCTGCCAGCGTGAAGTTCATCAATAAGATCCAATACGTTCACAGCCTGGAGGAACTGGAGCAGCTCATCCCCATGGAGCACGTCCAGATCCCGGACTGTGTCTCGCAGTGAGTACCATGGGACACAAATGCTGATGGAGGGGGACGTTGTGTCGGGTCCAAAGGACATTATATTGGGTCCAAAGGACATTATGTTGGGTCCAAAAGACATTATGTTGGGTCCAAAGGACATTATGTTGGGTCCGAAGCTGCATGCTGGGAGCACAGAGCCTGGGGTGGACGTTGGCTTCTCGCTGTGTGTGCCAAGCAAAGGTGTGCAGACAGCTCCCTGCCATCCCGGAGCCAAAGCATGGAGAGCAAACACTGAAATTTTGCTAAAAGCAGGTGGTGTCAGAGGGGTGATGCTGAAGAAGTGTTTCCTGTTTGTTGCAGATATGAAGAAGAGAGGATCAAGGCCAGGAGAGAAAGGTAGAACTGCTCTCGGGGAGGAGGGGTGGTTCCTTCACTCAGGAAATTGCTGCCCTTTTTCTTTGTGCACGGCTCTGCCCCCATCTCCTGCTAATGCAGAACCTCTCATTGCTCCCTGCATCTCCCACCCCGTTCAGCTCCAGCTTTCCCCATCCCACTCCTACACAGCAGAGCAGTGTCCTCAGCCCTCCCCAGGAAGACCTTAAACTCTCTGTTCTCCCAAAACGTGATAGATTTCAAATGCACTTCTTGCTTACAGGGCAGAAGAGAAACAAGACATGGCTGAAAGGGAAAGGTAATGATTCCTTCCTATTTATCCCTCACTTAGAAAATACCTGAGGCATTCTTGGCATGAGAATGGGGTCACAGCAAGCCCTACTTTTGTTGCAGCTTTGCTGCTGACCTTCATTTGTGTGCGTGGATCCCCAGCCCTGTTTGTCACCTCCATAAGCTAGCAGAGCCGCTTGGTCACGGAGCACAGCCAGCAGCACTGGGAACGTTCAGTTTCAGCTTCTGCACAGTGGGAAAGTGCAGAGGGCCAAGTGCTGATATCTGGCACATTTGAGTGTCCCCAAAGGCTGTAACATTAGATGGGAAGGAAAACTCTAGGGAGGTTTGGAAGACAGTGTCCAAAGCCAAAGCCAGGATCGCTTGGCCTGGTGTTAGCTCTGCTTTGGCCTCTCTGCTTTGTTCTCAGCAGCTCCTGAAAGGGAGCAGCTCATCCCTCCCTCCCCAGAGCTGTGGGTCAGATGTGCCAGGACCCATTTGAGCAATGGGAACACAAAGGACCTCAGGGCCAAAGGGCAAGTTCACTGATTGTGTCTGTGGTTCTCTTCCCAGCAGGCCTGTGCCCCCTGCAGAGGATCAAGAAACCAGGTTGGACCGCCTTCTGCCTCCCCTCTGCTATGGGGTTTTGTTGCATTTGTAGTTTGCAGTGTGAACAGCTCCAACACGTGTGTCATCCCAGAACCATAACTTTGGTTGGAGGGGACCTTGGAGATGCCACAGTTCCACCCACTCCATGGGTGCCCCCCACTTGCCCAGTGGCCCTGGGCTGCTCTGGGGATGGGGCACCCATGGGTGTCCATGGGATGCACTGAGACTGCCACTGTTAGCCCACAGCGAGCTCTTCATTTCCTCAGGAAAGTCCTTAGAGGAGACCCATTCCCATTAAGCTGTGCATGGCCGTCTCTTCAGTCTGATCACAGAACCACAGAACCATTAAGGCTGGAAAAAACCTCTCAGGTCCCCCAGCTCACCTCCCACCCACTGACCGTGTCCCTCACATCCACCCACTGGTATTTAGTGGAGGATTCCCCCCAGACATAACCATACTGTCAGATATAGCAAGGAGAACAAAACACCACAACTTGCCATCTCAAACCCGCATTGTCTGTTCCTTCCCAGCATGCCATGAATCGAGGCAGCGTGGGACAAAGGGAGCAGAGAGCAACGCAGCCCAGCACTCCCCCCTGGAAATGACCTTTGGGTAGAAGACCTTTCCACCACCCAGCTCTGAGCTCTGTAAGGTCACGGGGCTTCCCCTGTCTGCACAACACAACGTCCTCCAAACTTCTGGAAAACATTTGACTTTCAACAACAACAAGAAGAAGAAATATCTCCAAGGATAGCACTTCTTTTTTTCAGGATGGGTTCCATCATGTCCAACAATGGTCTGCAGAGAGCTCGGAGCAAACAGAGACTGCATCTCCTCGCAGTGAGCAAAGAGCATCCCGCAGTCCATTTGCCACCAGCCCACAGACAGATCTATTCTTCTTTTCAGTCCCAGCTCACTGCGACACACTGCTGCCCCAGGGGATCACTAATGCAAGAAATGAAAAGAGTTCATTTTCCCCCTTCCTATCCATTTATTTCCCCCCTGTAAATGCCAAGTGCCCACCGCTCCTCCCAGCCTTGACCTCCGTTCATCTGCTGCCAGTTCTTATTAACTCATAGTGAGCTGTTGCTGTGGGTAGATGCTGTCTTTTTACCATATTCATTCTGCCTCTGTACGGCCCCGGTAGCTTTGGGAAGGGTCCCACAGAGCCTCCCTGTGAGTGTCTCCTCATGTCACACACAGTGGTCAGAAGGAGCCCTGCAGACAGGAGTGCTTCCCATGCTCCTGTGTTGGCTTCATGCCCTCAGACAATCCTCTATGAACATTCCCTTGGTGGATTCCCACTGCTGAGGGTCAGGAACGCGCTGTGTGTCCTGGGGAGCACAGACCCCTCGGTACAGACGGACCCGGGGCAGATCTACCTACAGGGATGGAGGAGAAAGTAGGGATGTGATGTGGGACTGTGCTGCCTGGTGCTGGGGCTCAGAAGGGCTGTGGGAGCAGAAGAGGGGAGAGCATGTTGGAAATGAGGACCTGGTGAAGGCACTTAAAGATCCTGCTCTCGTCGGAGCGAGCTGACACGCAGCGCACCAGGCAGAGCCTTGTGCCAATAAGGTGGATGGAGACCTGTGGGTCCCACACCCAGAGACCCCAACCCACAGCAATCCAAAATTAACTGTGGATTTCTGCAAGCATCATTACGGGCCCCACTGGCAACAGGAATTCTGCACAGCAGAGAAGGACTGAACAGCACTGCAACATCGAGGCAGCCCCTCCAGATCCTGTGGGCTTCAGCTCATTCCATAAGCACTGGGGATCTCCCTGTAGTAGGGTGGGAATTTGCCATCTCCTGTCGATAACACTGAGGTTGTCCTTCTGTGTTTTTGGACCATTTTAATGCATTTAGACAAAAAAAGAAGAAAAAAAACAAAAACCTGCTCTGCTTTCACAAAAGAGCGCAATTGGATGTTGGGAGTGGAGTTAGCAACCAAATGGGTGGGATGTTGGGTAGCGTCAAAGCTCAGCTCTAAAAACCCTTTTGACATCTGTAGTTATTAAAAACTTCAGTGAAGAGTGTTTGAAACACAGTGGGAAATAGTGCTGCTACAGAGCACGGGGCAGTAAGGAATGTAGAGGACGTGTGGTGTTGGGACCATTTCACAGTCCTGAAATCCCACAGTCCATGAAATGCAACACTTCACGACCCCGAGTGGTACCCTAAGAATATGGCTTGGGGTTTTGTTTGTTGGTCTGGGTTTTTTTTTTCCTTTTTCAATTCTTTTCCAAAGAACAGACAACTAGGTCTACAACTAGAAAAGGTCTACAACTTCAGAAAAGCTGCAGGCCTGAAGACGACGTGTCCCAGGTTTCCAAGTGTCCCCAAGAGATTTCTTTGGGCCAAGAGTTCCCTGTGAGGATGCACAGACTTCACTGTGAGATGCATAAGAAGTGGTGTGAACACGAGTCCATTTACAACTTCTTTTTCCAAAAGGGCACTTTGTGATGGAGCACTCCACGTAGGATGCACCATATTTTAATTTTTCACAAAATGTTTGGATTGCATCAATGTTCTGTTCCTGGATGGATGCCTGTGTAGCTTTTCAGCACGGAAGAGAACGTTCAACCCATAACGGGTACGGGCACAGCCCAATGGGTATGGGCACAGCTAAACCCACCACGGGTATGGGTACCCCTATATCCACAATGGATATGGGTACAGTCAAACCCATAAGGGATATAGGTAAAACTAAATGTAAAAAGTGCATTTTGATAGCAATGAAAAATATATCATTAACTTATTGTTCCAGAGAGCGATTCAGATGCTAAGTGAAACTCTTTGCTGAGCACACAGCAATGGGGTTGGCAATGTCCCATAATTAACTACGCTGCAATGCTGATGGCTTTAGGGCTGGTAGACAGGCTTCAATACATTGCCATGGGGTGGCCAAGGGATGAGCAGAGGGGCAAATGGATGCAAAAGGAGCTGCATTTGTCTGAAAATGCTGTTAGAAATTCACGTCCTGATGTCACAGAGGTGAGAGGTTGATGGTAACTCCGGAGGACAGCAGACAAAAACTGGGGACAGGTGATGGAGCACTGGTGATGTGGAGCTGCCAGCCCTGATGATGGGACTCACCGACCGTAAAGCAGATGACAACGGGCCAAGAGGAATCCAAAGTGATTGTGATTGCAGACACATTTTTTTGCTGTTTCATGGAGCGCTGTGATCAGAATCAAAGTATGGAAGGTCTGGTGCTGATGTTTCCACCGGAGTGCAGATTGTAGGAGATCCTCAGAGCAAATCTGCTCTACCAGAAGAAAATAAAGAGGTGAAATAAATGTGGTAGTGCAAGCGCATTTCCATTCAGCCTTTTGCCAGCACGTAGACATACCTACCAAAGGAAACAGAATCAGCTCCATCCTTTTTCACCCCATTGTTCCCCAGGATGATGTTCCCAATACAGACCAGGCCCCATTTCTGCCCCATAGAAACATCTCTAAGGATGATATTGGACTTCTAAATGTGCTGCTCTCCATCAGGCAGAGGATTTACACAGTTGAACTGCTTTGTTTGGGCCAATTTAGGAACTACCCCCATTCAGGACCACCCAGTGATGCTCTTCGATTCACAGCAATGACCCAGGGAATGAAGCTGAGATGCTGCTCCATTAGGAGCACTCACACCACACTGTACTGCACAAACGTGAGCAGAGAGAGCACCCCTCAACTCCACTGTTCCCAACTCTTTTTTTCCAAAGACCCTTTTGCTGAGAGACGCAGGGACGTGTGGACAAGGAAAGCAAAGCAGCACAGGTTTGAAGAGCAACACATCTCCTCCTGAACATATCCAGGCACTGAAAAAGGAAGGAGCCGATGAAGCAGTGGCAGCAATGAGCTCACATTGACCCAACAGCAGTGGAACTGCTGCACCTACCCCAGTTCCTCTGCAGCCCCTGGGGAAGGGAGTTTTTAAGGCACCGTGGCGATACGAGCGGATCGATCGCCGGGTTTTTCTTTCCTTTGCAGTGGCCCTTTTCACACAAACCCACATGTAAAAACATGTCCTTTTTCTAAAGTGTTTGTAATCGGACGGGCTGTGCTAGAAGGGTAGATTGCTGCTCAGTATGTATCGCTCTTTTTTGGCTTTGTATTATCCCATCAGAATCTGTGGATACCCAATTAAAAACAAGACTAATCCTCAAGAAAAAACCCACGTCCCTCTTTTTGTCTGTAACTCTGGAGACTTCAGCCCCATACACAAAACTCAGTGGACTTGAATAAAGTTGAAGTCCTCCTCTAGGGGTGATGGCACTGGAAGCTGAGTGTTTTCACCAAAATGACCTCTGTCCTGTCCATATGGCACATGGCCCTTCCAAAGGGATCCCTGTGTTGTGCCTTAGGATAGAGCTGCAGTCTGTAACAATGGGTACAGAAGGTATGCACCTCAAGTTTAACTTAATCTCACCTATATAGAGTCATACTTATGTACAGAAATACAAGGATGTACAGTGAGGTATCTGAGATGTTGATCTGAGTGCTTTATAAATGGGATTTGGGGATATTTCAGCTGAGGAATTGGAAGTATGGATGGGTGCAAGCTTAATCCTATAGAATTATCACTGTGCTCATACTGTGAAATATTCAGGAAAAGAATATGACACAGCTGAATGAACCTCAATGATCCTGAACCCAGTGGGCTGTGACATGGCTGAAGGAGCCCCAATGACCCTGATTCTGTTGGGTTGTGATACAGCTGAGGGATCAAGTGATCTTGATCCCATTGGGCTGTGTGACACGGCTGAAGGATGGGTTGGGGTTGCACCTGATGATCTTGGAAATCTTTTCCCACCTTTGTGATTTGACCATCCCATGAGGATCACTGCTCCGTGTGTGGCACTGGTTTCCACTGTTTTCCAGCACTGCCATTGAAGGACAGTTCTTCCTTTTTGTGTGTTCACCTGCAACAACAAAAATAGTCTCAGAAAAACAAGATCCAGATCCACCAACAGAACTGAATTCAGATCCCTCTCCTCCAGCTTTGGCCATCGTAGAGTTACACACCTGGCTGAAATACGTGAGGTTCCAATGGGGACAGAGCTGCTCTGTCAGCTCCTGCAGGTGGAATTCCTGCTGTTATTACCTGGCACCACACGGATACAAAGAAGAACCATTCCCCACTCCTTTTCATGGCCATTCCCACTAACCCCATGGAGCAGGTTCCTCCCACAGAGCACTGAACCCCAAAGAGGTCCCTTTCCTGCAGCATCGGGATCGATGTGTGCTTCACTCAGAGTAAGGTCATGGGGTGTGGGAGCAGAACAGCTGCAGATCCCAACACTTTGGGAATTATTTTCTACATCCCTAATTGGGGTCTGCAAAAACAAGCTGCCTGCCTTCAGGCTCCAGCTTTCCTTCCCCTGCCAGCCCTAAAGAATCAATAATGTCAGAAAAGACCACTATGATAATCCTTGTCTGACATCTACACATTGCCTCACCCTGTTCCTCTCACACCAACCTTTAGTCCATTCCTTCTGTTTCCATCGCTTTCCCTTCCCCCTACAATTCTGCCTCCCCCCACACCTCACAGCACACCCAGAGGTCCCCATTTCCTCTCACTGGTCCCCACTCCCAGCTGACACAGCCCTCCCACAGCAGTGGGATCAGCTGCAGTGACACAGAGCATGTCACTGTTGGCAGCTCTGTGACAAGGTGCCAGCAAATGTTATCCTACAGAAGCTTGGTACTCTGCCAGCCCATGGTTTTGCCACCAGCTGATAGAGCTCCTTATCTTCTTTCAGGGCGGCCCTGTATGGAGGTAGAAATTGGACACAAATGTCACGATGGTCCCTTCCAGCTCAGAATTTTCCAAGGTTCTTTGATTCTTCCAAATGGGTACAAAGAGTTTTGCATTGTTGAGATGTGAGTACCACCCAACCTTTGGAGAAATGCTCCGCAGCACAGCCCAGAGCAAACCAACCTAGAAGATAAAAATCTACAGGTGGAAACCACTGCCATCCCTTGGTTCTTTATTAGCTGCAGTGCTGCCTCATCCAAACACTACCTCCAAGGAAGGCATCAAGAAATCCTGGCATAACAGTGCTCACATCCTAACCGTAACTCTCACTCTAACCTTAACCCTGACCCTGATCCTAACCTTGACCCCATAAGCAACACCTCACAACTTGAAATCTGAACTGAAGCTTTAGGATAACTGACGCATCCTGCAGCAGAGCTCCGTGGCTGTCGCAGAGGCACTCCCCAGGAATGTTTATGTCCCCTTTGCCAAACCTCTCCTAGCTTCAATCTCAAGCTGGCAGTAGCAGGCACATTCTAACAGCAGAGAGCATCGCTGTCTGCCTGCGGTCACAGCTGCCACCCCATGTTTGTGTTGGCGAAGTGTCACCACTAACGGCTCTGTGCAGAAATGAGCACGGAAGAAGGAAGTCTCAATGAGTGACATGTGACTCACCCGACACGCAGCCATAGTGCTGCTCAAAAAAAGAACTCGTGAGCACGCAGCGATGGCACGGCCACGCGATGGGTCAGGAGGGCTCCCTGCTTCCAGAAAGGACGGCTGTTCTCATTAGTGTCCGTTTGGGGTATTGGGGTGGGAGGCAGTTCTCAGCTGCACAGAAGATGGCATGTTCCAAATATATTTGCTTTCACAGTGACCGAAGGTGGCTGACCCCAGTGTTCCTCCACCTGCAAAAACCCGCAGGTTTTTATGACCATGTTAAGGTCAAACACGGTGAAATCGACACTAATAAACACCACACAAAGTCTGTTCATTAACCAGACACCTCCCCAGCTCGTGGGCAGGAGATGGACACAGTGAAGGGGAAGAAAAAAGTACTTCTGTTTGCACAGAGCTCAGCTGAGGTTGGATTGTAAGATGGGATCAACTGTTGCTACTCCTTTTCAGTGCACAGTGGCAATGGGTTGGGTGACCCACTGTAATCACTGTGCTGGGCACCAGTTGGGTGACCCCACTGCAGCCACTGGAAATCCCATTTCCCAACACTCATGTCCCATTCATCCTCAGGAACTGCAGCTCCACACATCTCTGCAGCAATCCCATCATGTTTTTGCCTTGGGAAAATGGCAATGAGAGCCCCCAGAAGCACGTCAGCACAGAGCTAATGCTGGCAGTAAGAACTGGAGTGGGAACATGCAGAGGTCTGGGTGCTCAACACACAGAGCAATGCAGCGCTGTGGGTCACGTTGTGCAGACCCGTTCATAGATCTGCTATAGACTGTCTCCATTGAAACAACCTCATCTGTTGCCTCCAACACTTTCATTGCAAGGTTCTGGAATCTAGTTAACGTTCTTCTGCTAATTGGCAACCTGTGTTAATTTGTGGTCGGCTTGTTTTAACGGAGCACCAGACCTTGACCTCATGGCTGATGAGCACAGTGCAGCCTGCAGGGTCTGCGGGGAGAAGGACCACGCTTGGTTGGATCACAGCTGGGGGGCACAGCCCAGATCTGAGGTGCAAATGAGATTATTTAGGGCACAAAGCTTTCTGCACAAAGCAGCCCTGAACACAAACTGAGGGCACATCATCACCTGCCTGGAGAAAAAGGCATCGCTGGTGTGTGCCACGTGCTGGGGGTGCAACGGGATGGGAGACACAACAGGCATCCACACTGGGACGGGAGCGGGGATCGGTGCTGCAGCACAGGGCTGTAGGGAAAGGGAGACACAACGTGTGTTGGTGCACTTACCAGCTGCATCGTTATGTCGTCAATTACATTACAGCCCCCTTTATGGCCAGGAATGCTGCTAGCACTGTCAGGCGCTGTGCTGATAAGCAGAAGGAAGGAAACGCGCCATGCTTTGGTGACTGGAGCTCTATCGGCTGCTGCTTTGAAATGATGCTCCAAATTCCCATCACTGCGTCCGTCAGAACGCTGCCGACCCCACACAGCGCGTCCCCGTGATCCGGGATCTGAAATGATCACAGTAATTAAAATCAAAGGGCCTGCACTGCAGAGGCAGTCCTTCATTTGAGCAGCAGCATCCGGATCTGACGGATGTGTGGGGGGGGAACGCAGGGAGGGACCATCAGTGCCGCACTGGGCGCTGTGTCTGTGGGGCAGAGCGAGCGGCAGGCTGAGAGTGGTTCCCTAAGGGTGTAAACAGGGGATGGGACGATGGGTTTTTTGGGTTTGGACGGAGTTATACATACGGGAATGCAAAGAGGAAGCGGGAGGCTGCTCTCGTTCCGCGCTGTCCGTGTCGGGGCTTTGGGAACGAAGTGCTCCTCCGTGCTGTGCTCCGGGTGCAGCTGCGATCCGCAGAGGGGAAAGCAAAAGGAGAATGATTTCCTCGCTCAGCCCCACGGAGGGGTTGACATTTCCACCTGCCCCATTCCTAATTAAGGCAAAGGGATCGCCGCCCGAGTGCTAATTATAGCCGGCAGAGCGACAGGTGCGCGCGTGACCCCACGATCAGAGCCGGGAGGGGGGAGGAGGAGGATCTGGGGGGGGGGGGTTGGGCTGTGTGGCCCCAAAATATGGCATTGGGGGCAGATCGGTGTCAACTATGGGGCGGGGAAACGGCCGCCGGGTGCTATAAACCCGCAGCAAAGAGCCTCTGATTCAATGGAACAGCGGAGCAGGGCTGAGCCCAGCAGGAACGCAGCGCAGCCAGCAGGGGAAAGGGCCCCTCTGTGCAAAACCCCACAAACTGTGGGGTTCTCCACCTCCTCCTCCTCCCCACACCGCACAGCTCCGCCATGGAGTACATCATAGGGATCGGAGGGTGAGTGTGGGTAGAATGGGATGGGGTTAGGGGGTGTATGGGGATGGGAGGGGGTTAGGGGGTGATATAGGGGGTGGGAGGGGGTTATGGGGTGATATAGGGGATGGGAGGGGGTTCCTGGAGGTACAGGGGATAGGACAGAGTTCTGGGGGTTGTATAGGGGATAGGAGGGGGTTTTGCTGTTATATAGGGGATGGGTTCTATACGCTTGTATAGGGGATAGGACAGAGTTCTGGGGATTGTATAGGGGATAGGAGGGGGTTTTGGTATTATAGGGGATTCCTGGGTTCTGGGGGTTATATAGGGGATAGGAGGGGATTCCTGGGTTGTATAGGGGATAGGAGGGGGTTTTGCTGTTATATAGGAGATGGGACAGGGTTAGGGAGTGTATAGGGGGAGGGAGAGGGTTCAAGGGTGATATAGGGGATGGGGTTCTAGGGGTTGTATGAGGGATAAGAGGGAGTTCTGGCGTTATTTAGGGGATAGGCTGGTGTTCCTGGGTTATATAGGGGGTAGCATGGCATTATGGGGTTGTTTAAGGGCTGACAAGGGGTTCATGGGTTATATATAAGGGATGGGAGGGGGTTCTGCAGTTATATAGGGGATAAAACAAGGTTCTAGGGGTTCTATAGGGGATAGGACGGTTGTGTAGGGTTCTGGAAGTTATATAGGGAATAGGAGGGGGTTATGGGGTGATAGAAGGGATGGGGTTCTGGGGCTTGTGTAGGGGATAGGATGGGGCTCCTGGGTTATATAGGGGATAGGATGGGGTTCTGGGGGCTCTATAGGGGATAGGACAGGGTTCTGAGGGTCGTATAGGGAATGGGATGGGGTTCTGGGGCTATATAGGGGATTATACGGCTATATAGGGGATTATAGGGTATATAGGGGACAGGATGGGATTCTGGGGGTTGCATAGGAGATGGGAAGAGGTTCTCAGGTCATACAGAGGTTAGGATGGGGGCTGTATAGGGGATGGTACAGGACTGTGGGGTTACATAGGGGATGGGGTTATATAGGGGATGGAACGCGGTCCCGAGGTTCCATAGGAGCTGATACAGGATGGTGGGGTTACACACCGGGTCGGACGGGCTCCGGGGCTGATCACACAGTACGGGGCGAACACGGACACTGCCCCGGGGTGACCGGAGCCGCCATGGCGCAGCCCCCCCACCTCCATCCCGCCCAACATGGCGGCGGCCCCGCTCCCCTCAGCGCCGCAGCGCCCTCCCGCGCGCGGGAAGCGCCGGACGTTTGGAAGGTTACACTTCCGGGATGGGAGGCGGGCCGCGCTGGCGGCGACAGCCAATCAGCTCTCAGCGCGCGCCGCCGCGGCGCGAAATTCAAACGTGTAGCGCGCGCTTCCCGCTGCCGCTTTGGGTTCCGCCCGGTTTGGGGCTTTTTGGGGTTTATTTTATTTTATTTCTTTCCGTTCCAGCGTCACCAATGGGGGCAAAACCACGCTGACCAACAGGATCGTCAAGGCGCTGCCCAACTGCTGCGTCGTCCACCAGGATGACTTCTTCAAGGTGAGGGCGTCCCACGTGCTGCTGGTCTGAGCGATGGGGGCCAATGGGGTCAATGGGGCCAATGGGATCAATGGGGCCAATGGGGTCAATGGGATCAATGGGGCCAATGGGATCAATGGGGCCAATGGGATCAATGGGGCCAATGGGGTCAATGGGATCAATGGGGCCAATGGGATCAATGGGGCCAATGGGGTCAATGGGATCAATGGGGCCAATGGGGTCAATGGGGCCAATGGGATCGGTTGGGTTTGGGGTCAGGGGAGCACTGGGGTTGAGGAGCACTGAGGCCAGTGGGGCATTGGGGCCAATGGAATTTGGGGTGAATGGGGCACTGGGGGCAATGGGATATGGGGCTGGGAGAGCACTGGGGTAATGGAGCATTGGGGCTGGGAGAGAATGGGATTCATGGAGCCAGTGGAGCATTGGGGCCAATGGAATTTGGGGCCAGGGGACCAATGGGGCCAATGGAGCATTGGGGTCAGAGGGGTGTTGGGTTAATGGGGCACTGAGGCCAGTGGAGCGCTGGGGTTAATAGAGCATGGAACAATGGAGCACTGGGGCCAATGGAAATTGGGGTCAAGGGAGCACTGGGGTAATGGAATATGGGATTATGGAGCATGGGGGCGATGGAATATGGGGCTGGGAGAGCACTGGGGTCAATGGAGCACTGGGGTAATGGAGCATTGGGAACAATGGAATTTGGGGCCAGGGGAGCACTGGGGTAATGGAGTATGGCACTATGCAGCACTGGGGGCAATGGAATATGGGCCCAGGGGAGCTTTGGGGTTGATGGAGTTCTGAGGCCAATGGAGTGCTGGGGTTAATAGAGCATGTGCCAGTGGAGCATTGGGGTAGATGGAGTGCGGGGTCAATGGAGCACTGGGGTAATGGAGTATGGGACTATGGAGCATTGGGGGCAATGGAATATGGGCCCAGGGGAGCATTAGGGTTGATGGAGCACTGGGGCCAGTGGACAACTGGGAGCAATGGGGCATAGGTGCCAGGAAAGCATTGAGGCCAGAGGAGCACTGGGGCCAGTGGAACATTGGGACAATGGGATATAGGGCCAGCGGAGCACTGTGAGTAGTGGAATATGGGGCCAGGAGAGTATTGGGGTTGATGGAGCACTGAGGCCAGTGGAGTATTGAGGATAATAGAGCATGGGCCAATGGAATTTGGGCCAGTGGAGCACTGGAGTCAGGGGAGCACTGGGTAGTGGAGTATGGGACTATGGAGCACTGGGGCAATGGAGCTTTAGGAGCAATGGAATATGGGGCCAGGGGAGCATTGGGTTGATGAAGCTCTTAGGCCAGCAGAGTGCTGGTGTTAATAGAACATGGGCCAATGGAATTTGGGGTCAGGGGAGCACTGGGATTGATGGAGCATTGGGATCAATTGAATATAGGGCCAGTGGAACACTGGGGTTGATGGAGCACTGAGGCCAGTGGAGTGCTGGGGGCCAATAGAAGATGGGACCAGTGGAGCACTGGGATCAATGGAATATGGGGCCAGGGGAGCGTTGGGGATAATGGAGGACTGGGGTTAATAGGGTATGGGGCAACGGAGCATTGGGAGCAATGGAAGATGGGATCAGGGGAGCATTGGGGTCAATGGAACATTGGGGTCAATAGGATACAGGGGCAATGGAGCACTGGGATTAATGGAGCATAGGGGCTAGGGGAGCATTGGGGTTGGCTATAATATTAGGGTCAGGGGAGCACTGAGGCCAGCAGAGTATTGGGGTGTTGGAGTATCACTCAGTGGAGCATTGGGGTGCATTAAGTATTGGGGTCAGGGCAGCACTGAGAGCAGGGGAGCTTTGGAGTTATTATGAACCACGGTTCACTGAAGGCCAATGGAAGATGGGGGAACATTGGAGTCAGTGGAATATAGGGCCAGTGGGGTTGATGGGCTGGTGGAGCCCTGGGGCCAGTTTGCGTGCTGCCCTATATGTCTACTCATAACCCCAAATGCTGGGGTGGCTGATGGTGCAGCACGGCCAACTCAGCCCTCTATCACCAATGGCCCCAATGAGCCCAGAGCACTGCAGGGGTTTTTGGGGTCGGGGGGAGATGGGAAAGGCTGTGATTAAAGGCTGCTGGGTTTGGGGAATCGATCCCACTGGCTTTGCAGCAATGTTTTCTCGCTGTATTTCAGCCCCAGGATCAAATAGAAGTCGGGGAGGACGGCTTTAAGCAGTGGGACGGTAAGAGCGGTGTTGGCTGTAGGATGCAGTGCTGTATCTTCTTTCGTTGGGTTTTTTGTTTGTTTTTCCCTAAGCATTTCCTTTTAATTCTTAACGCTGTAATAGTCCGTTAACCTTTCGAACCCGTGCGGGTGGTGGCGTTTGATGGGGACCCTCTCTCCCACCCACCCCTCAGTGCTGGACTCGCTGGATATGGAGGCCATGGTGAGCACGGTGCGTGCCTGGATGGAGAACCCGGTCAAGTTTGCCCGTTCCCATGGGGTGAACGTCACGCCCGACCCTACAGAGCCTCCCTCCAAAGAGCCCCACATTCTGCTCATCGAAGGCTTCCTGCTTTACAACTACAGGTGAGGTCAAGGGGGGGAGGGGAACCCGTGGAATTGAAACCCATTCCCTGGCATCTGTGTGCCCCACGGAGTCCCCATAGCAGATATTGGGGTGGGGGTCAACCATCTGACACGCTGATGGCTGCTAACGAGCCCTGGGGTAATGGAGCATTGGGAGCAGTGGAATTTGGGGACAGGGGAGCACTGGGGTAACAGAGTATGGGATTATGGAGCACTGGGGGCAATGGAATATGGGCCCAGGGGAGCTTTGGGGTTGATGGAGTGTGCCTACATGACAGTGTGCCTTAATGACAACGCTGGTCAGCAACACAGGAAATAGAAAGGTTGATTGTGGGGGTTTTTTTGGGGTAAGGTAAAACCAGGAAATAATGAGTGGGGGTTTCTTTCTGCAGACCCCTGGTGGAGCTCTTCGACCTCCGCTACTTCCTGGCAGTGCCGTACGATGAGTGCAAACGGAGGAGGAGGTGAGTGGTGCTGGGCTCCACCCTAAGCCCTCCCAGCCAACCCTAAATCCTCATCCCAGCCAGCACTGCTCACCCTAAGCCTTCATCCCAGCCAGCACTGCTCACCCTAAGCCTTCATCCCAACCAGCACTGCCCAAACCTAAATCCTCATCTCAACTAACACTGCTGACCCTAAATGTTCATCCCAGCCAGCACTGCCAACCCTAAACCTTTATCCCAACCAGCACTGGCCAACCCTTAATCCTCATCCCAACCAACACCACTCACTCTAAGCCCTCACCCCAACCATAAATCCCCACCCCACCCAGCACTGCTGATCCTAAACCTGCATCCCACCCAGCACTGCTCACTCTAAGCCCTCATCCCAGCCAATTCTGCTCGCCCTAAATCCTCACCCCACTCAGCTCTGCCCAACCCTAAGCCTTCCTCCCATCTCACACTGCTGACCCCAATCCCCCTCCCAACCCCAGTGAGGGTGATGAGCTTTGGGGTTCCCTACACTGCCGTTATTGGTGTGTAGGAGCATCGTGTGCAAACTGGAATTACAGTTAATGAGTTTAATTAGAATAAGTGACCTCATGCCATAGGGGGATATGAATATAGAGGGCAGTGAGTGAGCTATAAGGGGATTATAGGGGATATGAGGCTATAGGGGGCCGTGGGGTGGATGCAGGGAGATATGGGGCAGTCAGTCTTGGCTCTGACTGTCCCTTTGGAGTGGGTTTTACCAACATCCCACCCACCAACAGGGACATGGCACGCATCCCCCACAACCCACAGCCACCACGGACCCCATCAGGGGGCGCGGGAAGAAAACCTGCCCCAAAATTTGGGTAACTATTGCTGGGAAGTGATGACCATCCCTGCTGTTCCCTATTTGCAGTACACGCAGCTACACTGTCCCTGATCCCCCCGGCCTCTTCGATGGCCACGTGTGGCCCATGTACCTGAAACACCGCAAGGAGATGGAGGACAGCGGGGTCGATGTCGGTGCGTGTCCCCATTCCCTGTCCTTTTGGGTTCTGAGGTCGCTGAGTCCCCCACAGTGATGGTTTGGTGGTGGTGGTGGTGCTGCCCTCGTTCTGGTCCATGTCATAAAGAGTCACCATTAAGGATGGGGGAGAATTCTGAGGTCACTGAGCCTGAGGCTCACGCTGTACCCACATGGAAATGTAGGGCTGTTCTGGTTGGTGATGGCCAATGGGGAAATATAGAGGGGAAAATTAAGGGGGAAAAGTCAACTTTCTGCTGGGGGAAGGGGTTTTTCGGATGGGTTCTGTTTTAGGGAAACAAGCCAACAAAGCCGATGTTGGGGCCAACAAAGCCAACATTTAGGCCAACAAACAAATGTTGGGGCAATGTTTTGGCCAACGAAGCCAACATTGGGGCCAACAAAGCCAACATTTAGGCCAACAAACAAATGGTGGGGTCAACGTTTGAGCCAACGAAGCCAATGTTGGGGAAACGTTTTGGCCAACGAAGGCAACATTTAGGCCAACAAAGCCAATGTTGGGGCCAACATTTAGGCCAACAAACAAATGGTGGGGTCAACATTTGAGCCAACAAAGCCAACGTTGGGGCCAACAAAGCCAACGTTGGGGCCAACAAAGCCAACGCTGTGTCAATCCATGCCACATTTGGGAACAAATGAATGCAAATGTTGCCCTGAGCATCCCATCTCCTATTAACTATGGTCCCCCCCCCAGGTCAGAGACCCCACAGGTTTCCCCCCAGCCCCCATCCTGTGACACCTCCTCTCCCTCAGTCTATTTAGATGGGCTGAAGAGCAGGGAGGAGCTCTACAACGAAGTCCTGGAGGACATCAGGAACAGCCTGCTGAACCGCCCCCCAGGTAACCCCACAGCTGGGGGATGGGGGGACAGCCCTGTGTGCTGGGGGGGTCTCACAGCTCCCCTTCTCCTTCACAGGGCCCCAGAAGAGCTGAGGGACCCCATGTACAGATGTAAATACTACTTAACGCCGACGTCGGAAGGAGGGTTGATTTGGGAAACGTCTTTTGTATATAATCGAGAACTGAAGATAATTTATTTGCAACCGTGCCGGGCAGGATTTGTTATTTTATTTTATTTTTTTATATTCCACCACTTTCACCAGAAGTTGGGAACTCCTTTTCCTGATGGAAAGAACAGAGGCCGCCTTTGGGACCCGGCCGCTCTGCAACGTCATCGTTCCCATTGAGTAAAACCAGTTCAAATCTCTTTTTCTTGAGCTGACGTTGTAATGGGGTGGGGGGTACCTGCAGCCCCATAACCCCACACTGCCCTCTTTGGGGTCGGGTGGGAACTGGGCCCCATTCAGACAATGTGACCACGGGGATTGTGTCTGATGCTGATGGGAAAACCCAATGGGATTTGGGATGGGGAGGAGCTCTCTATGGGTTTCCCTGTGTGGGGGAATCCCTATAGCACCCAGAAGCCCCTATATAGCACTCAGGAGTCCTGTATAGCATTTAGGAATTCCTACAGTGTTTAGGAGTCCCTGTATAGCTCTCAGGAGCCCCTATAGCATTCAAGAGTCCCTATATAGTGTTTAGGAATCCCTATTGCACTCAGAAGTCCCTATATGGTGTTCAGGAGCCCCTATAGCATTTAAGGGTCCTGACGTAGAATTCAGGAGTCTGTATAGCATTTAGAAATCCCTCCAGCACTCAGTCCCCATATAGCACTCAGGAGTCCCTATATAGCATTTAAGAGTTCCTATATGGTGCTTAGGATTCCCTGTGCAGCATTTAGGAATCCCTGTTGCACTCAGGAGTTCCCATATGGACTTCAGAAGTTCCCTATAGCATTTAGGAAGTGCTATATAGGACTCAGAAGTCCCTATATAGCATTTAGAAGCCCCTATAGCACTTGGGAGTCCCTGTACAGCATTTAGGAATCCCTACAGGACTCGGGAGTCCCTGCATAGCATTTAAGAGTCCCTGGAGCATTTAGGGATCCCTATGGCACCCAGGAGCCCCTGTAGCACTTAGGATCCCCTGTACAGCACTCAGGAGCCCCTATAGTGCCCATAGCCTCAAGTCCAGCACAGGGGAGCTCCCTGTGCAGGTTGGGGTTTTGCTGGCTGTGATCCCATGGGGCTCCTGAAACCCAAACCCACAGCACCAGCGCAGCCTCAGCACTCGGTGAACTTTGTGCTTTTGGGATCAGCTGTCACTGTAGGATTCCCCCCCCTCTCCCCCCACCTCCATGTGGGAGCAGATGGAGCCCCTGGCTCAGCAACCTCTGGGTTTCAGCCCCAAAACGATGGGAGCAAATGGGGTCAGCCCTCTGCCCCCCATGGACCCCTGCGAGGGGGGTGGGAAGGGATCATCCCACATTGCCCCGCTATGGGGACACTGCCAGCACAGCAGTCACGTTGCCACCTCCCCCCCCCAGCCCTAAAATTATCACCCAGCCACGTGCCCCACAGGTTGGGATGAACCTGACACCCCACAGCACGTCAATGGGCACGTGGCACGGCCCCATGGAACGGCCCTATGGAATTACCTATGGCACGGCCCCATGGAACGGCCCTACAGAATGACTTAGGGCACGGCCCCATGGAACGGCCCTATGGAATGGCCTATGGCACAGCCCCATGGAATGGCCCTATGGAATGAATGACCTATGGCACAGCCCCATAACACAACCCCATGGCACGGTCGCATCCTCCTCACTCCCCACACCAAGTCCCACGGTTGAGGTTTATATGTGGCCAAATGGGCCCAGATTTGGACCCCAAAACCTCCCTCAGATCCCCCACCCCGTTCCCATGACCTCTCCCCGATCCATCAGACCTCTCCATTCCCAAGACCTCCCACAGACGCCTCCCATTCCCATCATCTCCCCCCACAGACCACCCCCAAACCCTACAGACCTCCCCATTCCCACAATCTCCCCCCAAAGACCCCCCCCAAACCCCGTCCCATTCCCATGACCTCCTCCAAACCCCCAGACCCCCGCAGGGCGCTCACTCCCAGCCATAAGAATGCCCAAATCCCTCTCCCCCCCCACTCCCTTGCACCCCAAACCCACCTCGGGGGGGGCACAGCTGTGACCCCCCCACATCCCCCATCCCCACACAGAGGGGTTATGAGGACAGAAAGCTTTATTTTATTAAAAGGGACTCAGAGCTGCACCCAGCTGGGAGGAAGCACCGTGGGGCAGATGGGACGTGTGGGGCGGCCTTGGGGGGCACTTCCAAGCCTCCCCCCAAGCACGGCCACTCTGGGGTCAGGCTGGGGTTTGGGGCCATGTAGGAACAGTGCTTTGGTCCCATTCCTCCTCCATAGGGGTGCGACCCTGAGGGATGTGAGATGTCTGCCCCACTGAGGGAGTGGAGCCCCACAGATGGCACAGGACCCCCAGAGGAGCCCAAGGAAAGGGGTGTGCGGCCGTGGAGTCAGGGGGAAAACCCCACAGACACTGGGGACAACCAGGGGCTCTATTGGGGACAACAGCACACTGAGCTCTGGCCCCACACCGACACTGAGGGCACACAAAGCTGAGCCATAGGGCCGCTGTCCAACCCCACGTGGTCCCCGACCCCACTGCCAAACCATGGGGCTGCTCCCACCCCACAGCGTGCCCCCCTGACCCCAAGGCCTAACAATAGGGTTGCCAATCCCAACCCACAGCCCCATATGTTCCCTGAGGCCACTGCTCCCACCCCACCACCCCATGTGTTCCCCCAACCCCTTTACCCAACCATAGGACCCCCATCTTGCCCCAGTGTGGCCCCTTGACCCCACAGCCAGCCATGGGGCTGCTGTCCTGCCCCACAGCCCCACACGTTCCCCATCCCCACTGCTAACCATAGGGCAGCTCTCATGCCCCATAGTCCCACATTCCCCAACCCCATTGCCACCCACAGCCCCACTGTCCTACCCCATAGCCCCACGCTCCCCATCCCCACAGCCCCACATATCCCCCCAACCCCCCTACCCAACCACAGGACCCCCATCCTGCCCCACAGTGTGGCCCCTTGACCCTGTAGCCTAGCCATAGTGCTGCTGCCCTGCCCCATAGCCCCACATTCCCCAACCCCACTGCCACCCACAGCCCCACTGTCCCACCCCATAGCCCCACATGTCCCCCCAACCCCTTTATCCAACCATAGGACCCCCATCCTTCCCCAGTGTGGCCCCTTGACCCCATAGCTTAGCCATAGTGCTGCTGCCCTGCCCCACAGCCCCACACGTTCCCAAATCCCACTGCTAATCATAGGGCCGCTGTCCTGCCCCACAGCCCCACATTCCCCAACCCCACTGCCACCCACAGCCCCACAGCCCCATGTCCCCCCAACCCCTTTATCCAACCATAGGACCCCCATCCTGCCCCAGTGTGGTCCCTTGACCCCACAGCCAGCCATGGGGCTGCTGTCCTGCCCCACAGCCCCACACGTTCCCCAGTCCCAGTGCTAACCAAAGGGCTGTTGTCCTGCCCCATAAACCATGTTTCCCATCCCCACTGCAAACCATAGGGCCGCTGTCCTGCCCCACAGCCCCACACGTTCCCCAATCCCACTGCTTACCATAGGGCTGCTGCCCTGCCCCGTCGCCCCACATTCCCCAACCCCACTGCCACCCACAGCCCCACCCCACAGCCCCACGCTCCCCATCCCCACAGCTCCCACCCCACATCCCCCCTCCTCCCCCCATCCCCACCACCTCAGCGGATGCTGCCATCCTCCCCGCCGCTCTGCAGCTTCTCCCTCTCGATGGACCAGAGCAGCTCCTGCACGAAGCGAACCTCGGATGCCACCTGCTCAGCCAGGGCTCCGTAACGCTTCTCCAACCTCCGGTAGCGCCGGCGCAGCCCCCCGGCCGCCTGCATCACATTCCTGCTCTCCTCCTGCGCCCGCTGCCGGGCGGACTCAGCTCGGAGCAGCTCCTGCCGGATCTGCCGCAGGTCGCGGCCGATGCTTTCATTCTCCTCTTTGTACCACGATTCCTTTTCCTCGTAGATGGACAGCAGAGCCTCGATGTCCTCCCGGAAGGATTTCTTGTTCCTCTGGATCTCACGGAGGGTCTCCTCCGCCGCCGCCACCTCCTCCATCACTTTGGAGAAGCGTTCGAAGTTGATGTAGGTGTTGTTGGGCGGCATGCTGGAGTGAGACTTGATGGTGTATTCCTTCAGCCGCGTCGTCTTCAGCCGCCGTCGCTGCTCTGCCTTCTTCCCACTGTCCTCATTGCGGACGTTCCTCCTCTTGATCACCTGTGGGGAGGAGGTGGGACGTGGGACGGGGCAGCGCAGTGGGGCCGGATTGACCCTATGGGGTGGGAGGAGCACCGAAGGCACCAGGAGGGACTCACAGGGACAGGAGCACAGAATGGGTTGGGTTGGGTTGAGGTGGGTTGAACTGAGTTGGTTTGGGTTGAGTTGAGGTGCATAGAGGTGGATTGGGTTGAGGTAGGTTGAGTTGGGTTGGGTTGAGGTGGGTTGAGTTGGGTTGAGTTGAATTGAGTTGGTTTGGGTTCAGTTGAGGTGCATTAAGGTGGGTTGGGTTGAGTTGGGTTGGGTTGAGTTGAGTTGGTTTGGGTTCAGTTGAGGTGCACTGAGTTGGGTTGGGTTGAAATGGGTTGAGTTGAAGTGGGTTGAGTTGGATTGGGTTCAGTTGAGGTGGGTTGAGTTGAGTTGGGTTGGGTTCAGTTGAGGTGCATGGAGGTGGATTGGGTTGAGGTGGGTTGAGTTGGGTTGGGTTGAATTGAGTTGGTTTGGGTTCAGTTGAGGTGCATTGAGGTGGGATAAAATGGGTTGGGTTGAAATGAGTTGAGTTGAGGTGGGTTGAGTTGGATTGGGTTGAGTTGAGGTGGGTTGGGTTGAGGTGGGTTGAATTGAGTTGGTTTGGGTTCAGTTGAGTTGGGTTGAGTTGGATCGGGTTGAGTTGGGTTGGGTTGAGGTGGGTTGGGTTGAGATGGGGTGGGTTGGGTTGAGTTGGTTTGGGTTGAGTTGCATTGGGTTGAGTTGAGGTGGGTTGAGTTGAGGTGGATTGGGTTGGGTTCAGTTGGGTTGGAGGGACTCCGAAGATCTCCCCATTCCAACCCTCACCACAGCTGGGTGCCCCTTGGTACATCAGAGCACCCAGAGTACCCAGCCACCCCCACTGCCTCCAGGGATGGGGCAGCGCTGTGGGGTGGGACAGCCCGACCCCACCGCATCGCTGAGCCCCACTGCTGACCACGGGACATCGTGAGACTCAAACCACAGATCTGAGTG